AAATAAGAAAAATTACTTCAAATCAACTCGTTTATAAGAAGAACCCCAATGTACTAGGGAAAGGTTTTTATGTTACCCATAAATCAATCCCAAGGAAAGATCTCCCTAAAGTTTTTGCTACAATCCTTGTTCAGATATAGATAGTCACTTTTTAAATACGAATAAATTTACTCTGGAATACAAAAGACTGGTTGGAAGTTTTGTTTGAAACAGTTCTCACTTTTTAGGGTTTGTTCAAAATAGGAAAAAACAGAGTACGCATACTATCCCTAATTAATTATAAAACTATTAAATAAGAGTTTAAATTAATGACAGCGATCAATCTCAAATATATATATTTTCTTAAATATTAAGCACTATTAATAGATATCACCATTTAAACTTATATTAAGCTTACATAGTGTAAGCTTACTTTCACTTGATCTTAAACCTATGAGATCAATTGAATAAAACTCCCATTTTTTTACACATCAAAGGCAAGTTTGAAAGCACTGTTACAAAAAAAAAAAACACAGCGAAACAAATAACCAATGCTGGACGTCTCACTATCGCACAAGCCCATTTACAAGTCAAATAAGTCGCAAAGAAAACATTCTATGACTCCGCTTAGTCTGTACTCGCCTCGTCAAGTAACGTTCGATGGTTCGATTAATTAGTGATATTAGTTCCCCCTCAAACTCTAACTAAATAATTGGTTACGATAAATGTTATTCGTCCAACTGTAATTGGTTTTCGTCTTATTTGTTTGTTCACGTTGATTTTCTTTTATTTCTCTATTTGATCATTCGGTTCATGTGTGTGTCAGATAATTTTGTTTGTGTTCGTCTTTATCTTTTTGTCCTATCTCTTGAAGTTGATTGAGTAGCGTGAAATTATATTATAGAATCTTTGGGTTGTAGCTGAATGCATTCTTTGTTCATTATCAAGTCATTTGAATTTCAATTAGGTAATAGAGCTTATTTCAATAAGGTTTAGATTCAATTATGTGCCCATTCAGGTGTAATAGATAGATGTGAAATTATTGGTTTGAAAATAAAACTTAAATTTATATAATAACATAATATAAAATACACAATTTGCAGTCACCGCTTACGACTCGATGTTAGACAGACGTTACATCGTATCGTATTCGGTTCTTTATGATCTCATTTTTAAGGTCATCTAGAGTAAGACCTTATAGCAATCAGGTCGATCATAGACGTTTCAAAAAAAGTTATTTTAATTTATTTTATAGAATTACGGGTATAAAGAAAATATGCATAACCCTAAAACAACGGTTATCGTTAACGATCTTAAACCACACGTCAATACTTCTGCATCAAACAGTACCTCTGTCGGAATCGCAATAAATATGGTAGACCAGCTTTTTACTTATGTCCAATTGCAGAATATTATAGTCATTCTATCTCTGTACCCAATTTCACCCGATTCCATTCAACTGTTTTGACGTGATTGCGTAGCAAACATCCATTCATCCCAATATTCACGTTTATAATATTGGCATGGATTTAGATTGAATAGTTCCATACTTACAATTCATAGAACATAATATGTGAAGTTTATTGTATGTAACGTATATAAAGTAAATCATTCACAATTTACTCACAACTAGTAACATTAATCTGTATGTAAGCGGTACTCCCTAATGGCTTTTACCGGGCCCGTACCAACCTACAGAGATAAAAGATTTTGTGTGAATTTCTGTAATAGAGCTAAAATGTTTCTCTTTACCGTACATTGTAATTACTAAAATGTCACTGTGAGCGTGAACGTGGTTTGAATTGAACATGAAGAATACGTTCTCTTATTATTATTACGGTGATTTTAAATGATAGGTATCATGGATCCTGCGTGCCTTAATTGAAACGCTTTTTTTTAAAGCTTGTTCAAAGGACCAGTTGAGTTTAAAAAATGTATTAAACGCCTAGCAAAAATAACTTTGTATCAGTTTTAAGTGTGTCTCATTTTAATTATAGATATATGTTTTTAATACATATAAATGCAGCCAATATCATTTAACTTTTACATTTATTTATGAAAAAAAAAACAAGAATTGATTAATGTGGGTCTAGGTATCTACGAGTACTATCTAGTTGTTCAATATTCTAAGCAACATTTGTTTTGCACGACTCTCGTTAAGTGGAAAGAGTGACCACGGAAACAAAAATTTGTAGTGTTCTGCATAAATCTGCTACTGAAAAAAATTATTAATATTTATCTTCAACAGAATCACTGTTTCTTCTTGTTGATGTTAAGTGTGTGTATTCGACTTCGATATTAATCGCTTTGATGTGCAGGTTTAACAGGACAGGACAGCCTATTACATTGATGTTATATAGTCTATTATACGTGCACATTTCGAATACCTTATACGAGTAATTGCCATAGAGCCCGAGATTTGTAGATTTTTAATAATCGAACAGTTTACAAGAAGAGCTTAATTCGTACCCGTTGGCAATGAGATTCATTCAAGCAATCAGGTTGTATTGATCAACGTTTAATTTATTTGACAGCAATTAGGAAGAGAATGTGGAATCATTTGATATAACTTTCTTAGTATTGTCTTAGCCTAATCTTTTACAGATAGCAGATGATGATTTTAAATTTGAATAACAAAAAAAATACAATTATAAAATAAAACATTCATCTTCATCAGCCTATCGCAGTCCCCTGCTGGACATAGGCCTCTTCCATTAAAAAAACAAAACAAATCTAAAAACAATACCTATTTTAAATACAAAAAGATTATAAAATCGCTATATAATAGTCTTTAAATCAATTAATCAAGTAAACGGCATATAGCTTTTTTGGACTAAGCCTGTTACAATTAACGATAATGTACCCAACTCTACGCCTTTGGAATCAAAAATCTTGCTTTAAGTTTACCTTTATTGTACTTTTAATACATTTTATTTTGCTGCTTACATAATCACTGCTTAACGAATTTTGTTTATTACGCAAAGAAAATTTTGTCGTTAGAAGTAAATAAGTGCTTTTAAAAGGTACCTATTTATTCATTTATACTAATTGTTATAATGGACTTTTAAACAAGACCAGCGTGGAACGAAATTGGTTCTATCTGAAAAATTTTGGTGAGAGCCATTTTTTGGCATCTTATGAATTGATTTACATGAAACACGCAAATCATTCTAAGTTTTGAAAATATATTGTTCTATTATGAAGCATTCTCTTTGAAAGTTACTCGTGAAAAAAGTTGATAAACAATGAGTTTATAAACTTTTAAAATTTATTCTAAATTATATGTTTATAAATTAAACTAGCTGACTCGCGCAACTTCGTCTGCGTCTTTTAAAAGGAATAAATTTTCCCCGTTTTTGCAACATTCTTCATTGGTGCTCCGCTCCTATTGGGAGTGATGATATATATCCTATGGCCTAATTCATAATTTATTTATTTGCTGATCAAAGGTGTACAACGGTGTTGCATTTTTATTTATACATGTCCTCTTTGGTCTACCTTAACAGCATGCAAAAATTGATTACAATAATTGTCAATTAATTTAGAATCAAAAGAAGCCTTCCTCGATAAATGGGCTATCTAACCTGAGATAAGCGCGTTCAAACAAACAAACTCTTTAGCTTTATAATACTCGTATATGTATAGATTAAATTATATAATAAATGAATTAGTTTATTAATTAGCTTTAAAAGAGTCATCATATTGGGGTTAGCGCTAAAAATATTTATGGTTTTAAATTTTTTTTAAAGCCTGTTGGTGTATTGGTTAGTGATCCTAACTGCTAAACCAGAGGTTTTGGGGTTTGATTCCCAACTCCGAAAAATCAGATTGTGTTCAGTACAATAATTTGTTATAGTTTTGTGTCTGGATATAATTTATCTGTAATATGTATGTTCTGGAGTCCCTAAAGCGTTGCCAAGATTGGCGATACATCGAAGTGACATGATATCTCTACAAAGCCGTCGACATATCCGTCCAAGTACAGAATCAGCAAATAAGGCCCATCAACTGATGGATTCAGTTGGGTTGGGCAGCGTCTTTAAAAGCTACGTCGAGTCTTCTCATCGTCGATCAAACAGTGCCGAGAAGACGAAAGTCTTTATTGAGTGCAACCTAACCGTCATGACACACTGAGCCGAAACGTGGACACTTATGTTACCGCTGGTCCATAAGCTTAAAGTCACTCATCGTGCTAAGCAAAGGGCTATGCTAGGCGTTTCTTTAAGAGATCGCATCAGGAATGAAGTGGTTTGACAGACAACCAAGGTCATTAACGTAACCCACTTGATTAACCACCTGAAGTGGCTGTGGACTGGCTATATTAGCCGCAGAACTGACAACTCGACTGCACGAATGGAGTAGTGGTTTAAGCGGTCGCCACGGCGCTCACCACTATGCTGAGTGTTGTGGGTCTAATCCCCACATGGGACGACACTTTGTGTGATCAACAAATTGTTGTTCTGAGTCTGGGTGTGCTTTGTGTCCGTTTCATGTATTTTTGTAAAATCCCCCGCGACACAGAAATATATTCCTAATGCGAGAGTTGTCTTTTAAAAAGAAGAAGAACCGTTGAGGTAAACAAGTTCTTGAGTGAAGACCGCGTCTAGACTAATTTAATGTAGACCACAGGCCAAGTAGAGTGACTGGATGGTGGTGTAGCTGGATGCGACAATCCGAAAATCGATCTAAGTGGTGTGCAATGGGAGAGGCCTGCCTCAGACTCATCGGAGTTGGGGATCAGATGTCCGTGTTACATTATATACTTAATCCCACTGAAAACCCTTATAGCTTTTATGAATATTCCCCGATTATTAACCTAACACAACAACCTATAACAACAATTCCGATATCTTTTATTAAAAGGTAAAGAAAACAGATGGTTATTTAAGAAATTCACTTTATTTTTAAATACCAAATGGTTTTAAACTTTGACTTTAACTTAACTAGAATGTTTACAATGCTTAGCTGATCAGTCTTCGTCACAATATTCTCGTAATTATCCTTTAGGGTAAAAGATGTTATTACTTGCTTGATTTCATAAAAATTTGAACTTTCTCGAATTCCGCTCCATGTTTACATTTCTTCCTGTAAGTCAAATAAAGTCACGTTATGAACAAAATTCTTGTTAAATTTTTAACAGTTTTATAAACATTCTTTTTTTGTTGGTAATATTTTCTTAGAAACATTAAGTATTTTACGAGTTGCGAGGATAACAAAAGCTAAATTAATATTATTCAATCGTTGAAGATACAAAATCACATCTATAAAGATGTGGATTTTCATGGATTTCCTCGATATCATACAAAAACAGGACTTCAAATATGAATTAATAAATATTGACAAAGCTAATAAATTGTCTAAAAATATATTTAAATGGAATACAACAATTAAATGGAAGCCTACACAAGATAAATTTTCATCAGGCTCCTTTTCTTTGTAACGTATTAACATTTTTATTTAATTTTAAATAACATTTATTTAAAAATAAACATCCGTGAGACAAATATAATACCGAGGTCATAATCAAGCCTATTTATTAATGATCACAACTGCTGAGCCAGATGTCGTGCGTTTAATTTACACCATTAATTATTCTGCATTTGCCGTCACGCAACGGTCTCGTGAAGCACACAACCGGAGGTGGAAAAACTCACCCGGCTGTAGACAGTCCAAACTGGTGTAGACTGAAGTCACACCACGACTCACCTGCAGATTAATCAGTCTTAGCAGACTAGAAATCCAAATAGTTGTAGCAACTATAACAAGACACCTAGCCCTGAACCGACGACTATTCAACATTAATGCGTGTACCAATACCAATCTGTATCTGGGTGTTATTTTTCTAGGTATAATATGTATTTAGAAATGTATAATTATGTTTATCAGCAGTTCTACTTATTTTGAAATTAGACAAGGTCACAGTTGGTTTAGAAATAATACTTGAAACATATACATTTTAATACATTATTTAATATTCCTCTATGATACAGCTGAATTTAATTTTTATATTCGGAGCAACTGCGACGAGACCTCCCAGTAAGCGATATCGAAGTTCTGTAGAAATCTGTTGTCTTTTTAGGTCTCCAACTACCCGTAACGATTGCCACATATGTTCGTATGGCAACCGGGACCGATAGCTTAGCTTTCCGACTTGGGGTCTTAATGTATTAAGAAATGGTCACCCATCTATAGAGTGACCATTTCTTAATACATTAAGAAGATGGATAGGATTGCTTAACTTTGCAATGTGTTATACTACTCGATTATCACTAAGCTACAAGACCCTTCTAATACATTATTCAATAAAGTAAATGATTAAAAAAAAGAACTTTGTATCCAACCAACAAACAATTGTCGTGTCAAGAGAATGCTGAATACCTGGTTTGAGTTTGAGAGTCAAGTTTGCACTTAGCCGCTGTGTCATAACTGTAACTTCAACAATAGTAATTAAAAAGGCCGTAATAACTCAACGTCGTAATTCCGCACCGAGGTTACTTATTAAGGCCCTCGACATATAAACCGATGTACGGTTTAGTACAATTTTAGGAAATTTCGTAAGTGTTTTAGAAATTAGGAGCAAGACTTAAGACAGGTAAAGCAGATTAGATTCTGGAATTACTTTCGTGTAAGACAAAATTGTTCAAATAAGGTTCTTTACAAATGAAGAACACGCTTCTTCTTTAGCCAAATAGCTTTTAACAGTTACGTCGACGGAGTTTTTATGGTTCGTTAGCGCGGCTTCTCGGAGTTAACAGGCTTGACGATGTAGCAAAATATCAATAAGGACGAATGTGTCTTATGTGATGTATCTTAATAACAGTATGGCAGAGTATTTGAGTTGAGCCGCGTTTAGAAATGACACGTTATTCTGTCTGTTATAATCAAATCGCAATTTAAACCTTTAAATAATATACACGGCAAACGTTTAAAATAAAAGCATTTGCTGTGTATTGTATGTTTCCTTTATTATTTCAATATTCTAATTCACATTGGGACTCAGATGAGAGAAAATGCAACTTTATCATAGCTTCTAACTGCTATCTGTCTTCAAGTTTTATTTTGTAGTAATGACATAAAGAGGCAGGATTGTCTGAATAGTGGATAAACTTTGAAACTGATCAGTTTATTAATGGAAGGCTACATTACTGTCGAGTGTTGCAGCGATTTTCTAAAGCGTTTTTTTATAGCACTCGTTTGAAGCTCTAAGAAATATAAGTATTAATGTACACTAAGTTTCTATCCGGTAAAAAAAAGAGGTAACTTACAGACAGACATATATTATAATTTTTATTTTATTAGCTGGTATAGGCTTTTTACATAAACATGTTATATTTTAACCGATGCTCCTTACTAAGCGGCAACCTGCAGGGACATCATTTATGTTTGCGATGAGCTCAGAAGCAGTACACCATTCGTGTTGGTTAAACAAGGTATTTTATATGGGGAATTTTGCCAGGCTTGCTAATAGGCAGACAAGATTTTTAAATCAATGATTGTGGTTTTGTTAAAATGTTCAAGATAATTCATTTTCATTTACCAAAGGAAAACTCATTATTTTGTGAATGCGAAAGGTTCTTAAAGTCCGTGCCCGGTGTTCACTTTGAAGTTACGTCTTAACATTACAGATCTTGGCTGTGGAGCTGAACAAACTTAAACATCGCTACGTTACTTGCCTTTGTGAACAGTTAGCAGTTATAAAACGTAAGTATACCCCTTTGTTTATTGTTTTATGACCTTGTGTTAAATTGTTGTCAGCAACTTAATGATCACATGGTTTGTCTATATTTAAATGATTATTTTTTAGAAATATTGAAACCCAATTGATCCATCTATTGAAAACAAAAAAAAACTTATTTAAATAACAGAATGATATTTTATTTAAAAAACAACTAAGCAACCACGATAAATCAACATAATCATAAGGAAATTAATAATTTAGAGTTACTCTCAACTCTCAATTGAAGGAAAAATCATATAATCAATAATTTTCTTTTTTTTTACAATAATTCCCTGTTCACGTTTTGGATTATATTATAAATAACCAATAATAGTTACTTACAACAATTTATAGGCAATACGCAATGCTGTAACCCTTCGTGGAATACATAACCCTTCTTGCAATCGCAGCTGTTGTACCGACAGCCACTCAAACAAGTCTTGTTCACCTCTTTGTAGTCGGAACAGGAGTTGCCGCAGTGGTTACCACAGCCTGTTGTAGCGTTGAAGTCCGATCGGCAGCTGGCTGCGAATAGCATTGTATAAACATTAGCTGTTTCCTACAGTTTCATCTTTTATTTTTATGGTTACCGTTCTGGTCCTAAAGGTCAGTGCGTAATGTTACACGAGCCACAACTTTTCTCAATATAAAAATACTCTATTCACTACAAAAGCAAATATTCAAATCTAACTACTGACACCAATGAACTTGTCTTTATATCTTTAGTTTTATATGACTGTGTGTAGTTTAGTGTATTGTGATCACAGAGATACTTAACTAATTTATTGTGTTATTACATTTTCTCATTATGTAAGTGAACTGTATTGTCCTTTTTATGAGAAATAAATGTATTTAAACCGAACTCATGGTTTCGTTTTGGAAAATAAGTAGTCAATCAAAAATATTTCAGTGTTGTATAGCTGTGTATATTTACTCTTATACAAAATCAGTCGTTGACCGCAATTTCACCCTTTTGTGCTCTAAGGGACGCAGCACGGTATTAAAAAGCTCATAACTTTCCCCAAGAATTGAGTTATCAAATGTATAAAATATTTTTAAATTCAAGTAGTAGTTCTAGAAATTGGCGCGTTCAACTAAAAAACAATCTGTAATAACATGTTCTTTGAAGCCTTTCAAACACTGAAAAATATTACTGGAACCATCAGGAGAAAATGTGACGTATACATGACATAAAGATTGTGTATATTATGAAACAGAGATTGAAATTATTTGGTATTTATGAATGGAATATAAGAGTATTACGTATCATTCTATATTTAATGACTCGTGTATAGGTTGCGCGTTTGAACAGACGTAAGTAGGAATACTTATAAAAAAACAATAGCAAAATAGCAAGTCAGCAACTTTTAGAAGTTCATCAATACTTAAACGTATATGGGTCGTTCTTCTTTTTTTATCGACAATAGCTTCTCCGCAAATAAAATTGTTATTACTTCAATATACTTAGTTTCACAATTATTTTTCATAAAAACTCTTTAAAGAAAGACAACCGTTACAATAACCTTAAAATTTAATTATTATTTTTTCCAAAATGGTTGTACATAAAAATCGTGACGGAGGTGTTTTACATATAGAAAAAATGTGTGTCCCTCTGTGATGTCTGATTTTACAAAACGTCCCCAAAAAAAAATTTGATGAAAATTTTATGTCAAAAATTATTTTTAAACTACGTATAAGTTATTTATTTCGTAAATTTCTGTATTATCGTTGATAAAAAATATTTTATTACGTGTCTCTCGATGCATGTGATTTTTGTTGTGTGTCGCATATTCTATGAAATAAGTAACGGTCGATAGTAATTTTGACCTTGTTCGCTAGCAAGCAAGGTTCCTTCTCCCTTTACACCCTCTCCATGCCTTTGTACACCGTGGCGAACCAAGTTAGTCGCTCTAAGATTGTCAAAGTGTGTTTATTTGGCGACTGCTCTGTCACGTAAGTAACTATTTTGAAATTTTATTGTAAGTTATGCTTCCTAACATTAATTCATTGTTTCTGATAAGTATTTTCTATAATAATAATAATATACACCTCACACATTTCACACACGGCCGTCTGATCCCAAACTAGGCAGAGCCTGTGCTATGGTGACCAGACTGCTGATAAACATACTTATATATTTTTAAATAGACACATATTATAGATAAATTACACCCAGACACAGAACAAATGATCATGCTCATCACACAACATTTGTCCTGGGTGGGAATCAAACCCACGACCTCCGGCTTAGCAGTCAGGGGCACTAACCACTCGACCAACAGGCCCGTCACCATATGTACCAAGTTTGATAAGCAATTTGCTAAGGAGGGAAGTGGATTTACTGTATTTCCAACTCCTCCAAATTTCTTCTGATTAATTTCGTTGCGGGTTCCAAGACAGTTTAATTTCTTCCTGGGACTTCCCGAGTGTCATAACTCGGTGTGTTCGTGGGTCACTGCTGTGGATCCTGGTGTACAGGAGTTACAGTGGTGGGCGTGTGGGTGGGATTAGTCCCATTTAAAAAAAAAAGCAATTTATAATTAGGTCAATTCTGAGAACTTCAAATAGGTACTACTATTTTACACCTCAGTCACGAGCACCTTTGTCATAAAAAAAAGGGGTGTAGAAGTATAGTATAGTATATAGTAAGTATATAGATAGTAATTTTGTATGGTATTTAAAGTTGAATTTTAACTAACTTCAAGAAAAGAGGTTCTCTTTTTGGCCCATATCTCCGATTTTGATGGGGTTATTGCAATTCGTTTTTCAATTTATATTTTTCAGGGAAGGTTTTAAGGTATACAATGTTGTCTTAGGTTATAAGATGCCAGAGCTATACACTACAATATAGGTTTAAGTCAGAGAAATTCCTATTGAACTCGGTTCAGTTTTTAAGAAAAGTTATCGTAATAGATAATTATTATTTTCCATATTATTGCCCTAGGTTTATTAAATCATCATATATTTTATATGTATACATTGAATAATCTTGTTAATTTGTATAATGATGATTCCGTTGATATGTTTCATATTTCTTTACCCAAATTTAAGAAATATGTCCATAGCTGTCTTGTTCCTCCTATATATAACTAAAATTACTATCTGTAAAATTACTATAAATTGTGTTTTTCCTAAAATGATTTTTCTTACCGAGATGTGCATGTGTGTTCTACTATGCATTTGTTAATTTTAGTTTTTAATTTTAAAATGTTTAAGCGCTAATGTAAATTTATAATATGTGGAAACTGTTTTGGATTATATTTAGATTACTTGTATATTATTTTTTTGTTAAATTTGCATCGGTTTGTTTCCCTAATAAAAAAAAAAGATTTTGTTCATTTAAGGTGTTCCAACCACTAGGTGAACTGAAAAATGCCATTATCTGCGACTGAAAGGCAGCGACGTTATCGTGAAAAAAGAAAGCCTAATCCTGATAAAGTTGCAGAAGTGATACGTAGAGATTTAAGAAAATATGCTGCTCGTAAAAAGTTAGTTAAAGATATGACATCAAGAGAATACAGAAAAATTAAGAGACAATGGCAGATGAGAAATATACGAAAATAGAGCAACAGAAAGCTTTGCAGAACATTTTAATGTTACTTCTCTTAAGTCTATATCTCGTTCAGTGGCTTCAGCCTCGTCCATTGCTACCGCAAGAGGAAGAAATTAAGTAAGACGGGACAGATCGAAACTTTATAGACGATATATTTAAGTTCAAGGCAAAGTACATGAATTACAGAGAAAGGTACAGCAACACAAGACTTCATCGATTCGGTTTCAAGATGTGTTAATAATTGTTTAACCTCCGAAAGGCCGCTTTTATACGAGTTTGATCTAATTCAAAGAATGGTTCCATCAAAAAAAAAATGTGAAAGAGTGGTATTGAATAAAATGTTTTAAAGATTTATAATAAAAATTCCACCATTTTCAGCTAGATGAAAAGAAACTGTGTTATTCTAGTTAAGTAAACGAATAAAATTTAGTTGTAGATCTGATTATCCATGACAAGTAAAAAATTAAAACGTTTTTGTGACTGAGATGTTTATTTTTGTTCCCGTTGTAAGGATATTTTAAATTAAAAAAAAATACATGTAATACTTCGCAGCACTATATGTTTTTAAAATCTACGATAGCGAAGATTTTAAAATACGTTTTGTTTTAGTAAACTAAATTTACTTTTTTAAACTAAAAATCAACCAGCCCTTATTGTCGGTTAAAAAAGAAGAACAACCCATATAATAGTAGATTGTTCCATCCAGCCTTAATTCGTGAGATTAATACAAATCCAGGTTGTAAATACTTATTTCTTAAAACGACTGAAAAATAACTTCTGCCAGGAGTACACTCTCTCTCTCTATCCCTCTCTTGTTAGGAGAATACATTTATATGAAATAGTATAGTTCTTAGTGTAGTAGTATAACGTAAGTAAATGTGTATGTGTGCATATATAATATATTTAGTACCTGGATGACGGTATTAATTTATTGATAAATTTATATTTCTATAAATTAAATTTGGAGCCGTTTCCGAGATTTAGATCATATATATATATATACTCGTATATATGTATTAATACAAGAATTGCTCGTTTAAAGGTATTGGATAAAATATATAAAAAATATAAATATGCAAAAAATTTCGTTGACCATGTAATGTAACTTTTGTGCGCCTTACAAGATATCTACCCAAAGGTTGACTGGAAGAGACTGCCCTGGGCATTAAGTCCGTATTCCGTCCGTTTCCATATTGCTCTAAAAGCAACGAAAAGTTTGTTTAGACTCAGTCAGTATTAATAGAAGGAAAATAGTCTTTATTGTTTATCTGGTATAGTTGTAGGTACCAGTTTACTTTCAGCAAGTTTATATGTACGTAATACTTGTACCCACAAACCGCAAAACTTGAGTCAGTTCTTGCTCCTTACCGAGTTTGTGAGACTTCAAATAACAAATGTATGCTACCTAGCATTGTTCTAATTGTATACTTCATTGAGATTCGTATTACACTTTGTCTTTTGGGTGAATTTAATAAACTAAAATTAAATTTTAGAAATAGAAGAAGAGACGAAATAGAAAGAGAGAAAAATTGATGTTGATTAAATAAACTTAAGGAATTCCTGTCTATATTTAGAACAGTAATTTCGATGCTCAGTTACGTTTTATTGTGCCAAAAATCCTTATTACTATTTTTTTTAAACGTTTACTAATTAATTCTGCTCAGAATTATCTATTCTATTCTCAGACCTTATTCCTTTTAAAAAAAAACTAGAACTGCTTTAAATATAGAATTTAATAAGAAATAAGTCTTCTGCCATAATTTGTTATCAATCTGTTTTAAAATCTGGAGCGTTTAGATAAAATATTAAACGACAAGATTGGATTGAAATTCTTTGAAATTTAATCAAATTAGTTTATTGAGAAGCATAAGTAGAGATGTAGTTAAATGTTATTATAGATGTTTTATTTGGTATCAGGGTGGTTTTTCCTTAATGTGATCTCTGTAACAAAAATACCAGGAAGCCGAGAAAGTTGCTAGGTAGTAATTTAGTTATATGTGGAGTGAGGTGAGGTGATTAATACTCACGGCACTCAGTCTTCGGTATGCAGGTTCCATTAGTGTCTTTCACGTAGCCATCTATGCACACACATTCCGGCTTGCATAGCGATGTGGCTCCACCGCATCGGATCGGATATCCAAGATCTTCGCAACGCTTTGGTCCACAGTGTGCGCACTCGACGTTAACTTCATTTTCTTTGCATATCACTGGAAATTTTGTATGCTATAAACTTGTTTAGTGCAATAGAAGTATAAAATAAGAAACGCGAGAATTTAACTTACTATCTAGAACCAACATTGCACTTACACAATGTTATGTAGTCTTAGATCAATTACTCAGTTCATTATTCATTTTCTTTGATGACAAAAAACGGCACAGTACCACTCTGACGTAAAAGATGTAAGCGGTAATTTCCGTAAACTCATTTGTTGTGAACAAGTTTTTGTTCTCATCGATTTTTTGACTACTAAAATGTAGTAAATTGAAAATATAATTATCGGGGAAAAACTAAGTTTTGGCACATAAGTGGCAGCTTGACGGGAGTGATACTGTGAAAACTGGTATTAAGCAATTCTTTATTCCGTTTCACCGATTGAGTGAGATTATAAGAGGCCTAAACCTGATCCCTAATACTAGAGGAACACTCAAAGAATGCCAACAAGGTTGAGTACCTTGAAATGCAGGTATCCAAGAACGGCTGTAGTCTCTTATTATCAATTGACTCCCTGTACCTACTATAAAAAGCCTTGGTGTCTGAATTCCGCAAGGTAAATCGAACTTTTTCTACAACGCATACACTGTAGTGTACTAGCACGCGAGGAATATTATTAAAACACTGTTACCAGAATAATTGTGGCATTACCATCGTGTCTATAATAATGAAGAACGCAGTGCAGTAATGCAGACATGCGAGGATCTAGATATCACAAGCATGTTCAAATGTGATCTGTATGCCGTGCATGGAGCTTTTGAGTTTTTCCTCATAAAAATGCACCAGGAAACTTGTTCAACACGATATTGCAACTAAAATTTTATACCTGCACTATATTTTGATACGTGCCTTTCGTTCGAATTTGCATAACAAATTTCTATTTATGAAATTCGTGGGCTATGAATAAAAGTTTTATCTACAGATTAAACCGATTTTTTTATTTAAGAGGCAACGATCTGTGTGATTTATCATCAATTATTGGAGATTACCAAGTTTTACCCTACAAATCAAATGTGCGTTGTGTGAAATCACGTGTGTGTCACAACACGCTAGAGCATGACTTAGTAATATTGTCAAGTTTCGTTTTTCCTTAATTATTTCTATCTTGCCTTCATTCATTCATTTACAAAAGTACTCTCATATCTTACAATTATGATGCGATGTGTTCCGTTGTACGATATTTGTGTCTCTTTACATGATAATTACTTTACATTATGCTTGTAATCGGGTATCTAAATCTTGGATAACATATGTGGTGAAGTAGAATTATGTAGTTGTAAATCATTTAGATTCAAAAATTAAAACAATGAGGTGTAGGTACGTGTAATTGCCGACAGTAACCAATGATGTGAGTTTCCGTGGAGTAGTTCTATCACTAATACTTAACATAAAAGTCTGTTTGAATTTGAGAACTCAATAATAAAAGGAGTAGAGAAGTAGTAGAAGTAGTACGGAAACTCATTTTTCTATTTGTTCCATAATTTAAAAAAAAAATGTCACAAGTTTTTAATCATGTGAAATTAAACTACATAAATTAGTATAGTTCAATTTAATATACTAAATACATGCACAAGTCTTCGTTGTTTATATCAATAATATATTATTTATTTTTAATGAAAAAAATTTACAACTATTCAAAAACTATTATTCTAAGCAACAGTAAGCCATAATAATATATGACTAGTATTCCCGTGGAGAGCTAAGCTAACTGCTTAGGTGTGGATTCATGTTGATAGTGTTTTGGGTTTAGTTTGAACCTGCAACAACTTGATCGCAATTCCAATGCCCTAGCCATTACAAAACTGCCGCTTATATAATAGCAAAAAAAATATATTTGATTCCTTTGGATTTCATATATTATTTATAAAATATTAGCTAAACGAGCTTATAACACACAAAGACTTCTATTATGAATGTTTATGTATTACAGCGTAAATGTTTGATAAATATCGTAGCTACTTACATGCACTATGTATAAAGTAAACCCAGCACGTGGTCACTAAAGTAATCACAACCCACTTGGACATTTTGACCACGAACGTCCACAACGGTCCTCAGTCACAACTCAAGTGACATTTCTTTACTATTTAAATTCAATGCAGACCCTATATGACATTCAATCTTTTCCTCTACAGTGAATAAATTCACTGGATTACTCAATACTACACAATTCACTTAATGTTTTCCTCGTCTAAGCAGATAAATAGAGTGACTTGCCATGTTTAGTCATTAACTTTAATTATTTTTAAATTTAAATAAAGTACAATTTGGGTCGTCATTCTTTGCTCAAGGAAAACCTTGATAGTCATGTGATAGCGACCGCACTATGCATAATTTTGTTTTGTGTTCTTTATTTGTAACACTAAAAGAAACCAAAACAAATTATAGATTGTTGCTTTCAGACTTTAAAAGGTTTTATTATTACGTAAGTAAAGACTTCGAGAGCAAACGACGCAGGACAAAAGCACTGCAAATAGAAAGAAAACTTGAAAGAAACTCTATATCAACCCGTCTGACCTTTCTAAGGAGAGGTCTAGTCCAGCTGTAGACTATTGTAGGCTGTTGATGATTGGCAAAATCTCTGGTCCTGCCAATTACTAAGAGCCAAGAGAGACCAAATTTATGATCTCTTATTACGTCTGTATTATCCCACTAAAGAATTTTTATCACGCATTTTCGTAAACCAAATATTAATATTCAAAAAATCTGTTTGAGAACTAAAACGTTCTTTGCAAAATAATGTCAACGCCACGAAACTATTTTTCTACCTCAATTCCTCCAAAATTGAAACACTTTATTCCAAACATTGTCTTCACCACAAGCCATTACTTCCCGCACGAAATCCCAAATATGAAATTGTAAAAAAGGAGTCCGGTGACACAATATCTCCGGCGTAGACAGCTTCCCCCGAATTCGTTCTATTTGTCTCAATATACCCTTAGCGTCGATCGGATTTCTTTTCAAAAGCCTCTTATCCTGTTTCCTGGTTGTTTATAGTTTTTGCACGGGTTGCGGAGTGTTTGAGTGCTTATAACAATTCGATTTTTCTTCTGTTGAAATTTGATTGTAATTCAATATTCTTAACTGCATGAAATTTGTGGTGAAATAGCGTCTTTGATATTTGTAGAGCAGATCTATGTAGTTTAATTTCTGTACTAAAGTCATAGTATAATATTATTGTGAAGTGGGCAACTTTCGTTCCCTTATATTTTTATTATTTCACAGTCGTGATTGCTTAAGTTTTTGATACAGCTACAGACTTTTGCTTGTTTCCTTTGAGTATTTTTATGTTATTAGTGAAGAATTTACACTAAATTAAAGTATTTATAACAGTAAAACTTTTAAGGAATAAAATTTATTTATTTACTGAATAATTCTATTGTTTTATACTTATAATTTTATCCTATTGTTAGTGCAGCAACTTAAATTTTCGTATAGACGGCATTTAACAAATCTCGAGATCATTGAACTTAAGATAAGGACCTCCCTACGATGATTTTGATACTAATATATAATACTAAAGCGTGTTCATAATGAAAATTTAGTAACGAGAGTAATAATAATAAAAAGGAGAACTAAATTGAGGTTTTACCATATTAGACTAGGAAATAATTATGAGACATTCATACTCTACGAATACACACATTACGTTGTTATAATATACTAGCTGTACCATTTCACGGTTCATGTGGCATGTTTTGGTTGCCATGATGAGAAATGAGGAACAGAAGAGCTCAATCAAATTGCATAGAAGTTATTTTTATATCCTTCAGGAATCGTGTATATTTCTTAATTAATGCCGTTGTGGCGACTTCCACATAACGGCAAAAATGGAGAAACATACTACAGTGCCATCTAACGAAGACACACCAAGAAGTACGGAGTAACTGCTAATACTGTATCGCGATACTAACAATTCTCTCGCCGATTAGCATATATTCAACTTCCCAATATCATTCGTTGGCTTGGTTCGCCAGGCATGATCACCTCGCCTAGTCGGAGGATCCTCCCTTTGTGTTGAAGGGACATGTTACCCGTTCCTCCACACTGTACTTACTGTGCCTTTGATAACGTGTACGCAAAATTTCATGATAATCCGTTTATAGTCATGGCGTGAAAACGGAACAAACATACAAACAAAGTCAGTTGTCCATTAATATCATTAAAAGTAAGGATTAGGTTTACTGAGCTCTTGTATTATTAGGGGTTTTCCGCAAATCTCCGATTCTGAGATTTGAAAGTAAAAATGCGTTTGGACGTTCCAAAGACAGTAACAGCGTATAACCCGAGATTATGGATTGTCGACGGTAAAAATTTATAGTAGAATATGTGGTTTCCCGTGGTATGAGACGATTCAATTTGATATAATATTGGTCAGTTGATGTCTCTGTCTTATTTATTGACATTCTCACTCACAGGACGGGCATCCATTAGCCACGGTCCCATTTTCTCATCCTAGACTTGCAGTAGGTATCCATGCCTTGAAGTAACCATTTTCCGTTAATCAATTCATCTTTGTCCTCTGTTCTGTCTGAAAAAGTTTACATTGAGAAAGACAGTAAGAAATTGTGCTGACCCCAAGCAAAATTTTGCCAAAAGTCAGGAATGTCATAATGACAAAGTGCAGAAGGAAATAAACAAAATAACAAGACATGGTTTACAGTACTTTAAAGTAAATATTTGTAATGACTCATCAAGCGGTAAGGTACTAATACTTTATTTAATGTACTAAAATAAACGAACCGTAATTTAATTTTTTTTTAATATTCCTTATGGTAATTACTTTAGTATTATCATATTGGTAGTTAAATATCTATCCGGTATACATATGTATATACTGATGCAAAAGAAAAAAACAGAGTCTAGCTTACCAGTCTAATAATCTAATAATTCACAAATCTAATAGTCAGTATTTTAAAAATTAATATTATTTTTTGTTGTTCAATTTATCTATTATGTATGTATATTTACGACAATTCACACGACGCCATTTCTGCTCATGACGGGACGTGTTTGTAAATAATGGTTTGCATTGTTGCTCATTCAATGCCTATTTTCCGCTTGTTACAAACAATCACATGGAGGGAAAAACATTAATTCTTTAGTAATATAAAGAATTGGCTTGAAATACTTAAATTTACTATTTTGGTTCACTGTTTTCAAACTTAGTTAAACTAACGATTATTTTTCCCATCATCATACCTTTTTAATAAATTTAAATTAAGCGAATTGTAATTATGTAATTATTATAAATAAATGTTATAAACTGAAATCAAGAGAATTTTGAATATGATATCATCGTTACTATTAAAACATTAAAAATATTAATGGGCTATATAAATTCATTTATCGTATTAACCGACGACTTCGATAGGTAATTTGGGTGTAATATGCAACAATATTTTTAATATTTCCTTATTGTACAGTTACTGTATTGTACAGCTACAGGCGTTCTAACAAGGTGTATTTCAGTTAATTTTTAACCGCAACCAACCATAGACATATCGACAGACTTGTTGGCCTAGTATTGGGTGATCCCGACTGCTAAGCTAGGGTTTATTTCTCACTCAGGACAAATAATTATTTAATGAACACCGTCATTTGTTCTGTGTCTGTGTGTAACTTATCTAAAATATATATGTATTTAGAAATGTATAAGCATGTTTATCAGCAATCTGGTCACCATAATAAGGCTCTGCCTAGTTTGGGATAAGACAGCCGTGTGTAAAGTGTGTGAGGTTATTATTATTATATTAGAGCCATTATACATTTTACTTATCTGTTACAATACGTACTTTATGTACGTATTGTAACAGATACATACATTCAATAGACACACAACATTTATGACACAAAATATGAACAAAATATATAAATATTGTGATTGACCTGTAATTGTTGGGAGTTCGAATGCACTTAAGACTCTTTTAATTTTATAAACGTATTAACATCAGTAATATAGAGAACAGGTCGGTAATTTTTTTGTTTTAAATAAAATCTACATATAAGATTTAAAAGCCACTTCGAAATAATTTTGCCGTAATTGTTCCTACTATCCAGCTTTTTTAGTTTGTTCCCGTATCTAATTCTCAAGACTGCAGTTATTTTTAAAGGTAAAACTAAGAGAAAGATGTCAAAACTTTAAGAGCTGAAGCGCGTTTACTACTTCATGATATGAATCGTGCAGAATTCAGTCTTGGAAAGGAGCGAGAGCAATTTCTGACTTAGTAAATAAATAACCCTAGAAGTCGACGCCGCTGCAAACTACTTAACTTTTTAGGTTGATGTAATCTATTTTAGCTGTATGAAGTAAGTTCAGTGTGTTCAAGAAACTTCACGGAAAATGAATATCTTCGAATAAAAGTTGTTTAAGTAACTTTGTAATTGGGCGCGCAAGTAATTGGAAATGGGTGTGTTAATTTATTGAAAATGGATGCACTGTGTGCAAAGATAAAAAGCTTTTCAATCATGTTTTCTGTGTGTTTAAAATATATGAGGAAGTTTGTCCATTTTAAAAGTTTGTGTTCTTAGTCATGGGGATATCAATTTACATGATGTTTAAGTTAGTTTGAATGTGGAAACACAGTGTTTTATAACACTTTATATATCACGAACAATTGATATCATAAATTAATATGACGATCAAGACGAAGAAATATCATGTGAAGGAAATGATACGAATATAAGATTGTAGGCCGTAGACATATGTTTACTCATACACCAATAAATATTGTTAATTAACAAATATTACTAAAATCTAAATTAAGTATTAAATATCTTTACCACGCATACATAACTTTATCTAACAAATATTTCTTAAAGAACAACAACTAACCCGAAAATTAGTTAATGTATTTTATGGAATAGATAACCTCATTCAGCAAAAAGTAATTAAAACTTCAAACACTCAAAAGGGGTAAACGCTCTTAAATTATGTTTGCAAAATTATTATGGCGTGCTTAATAATTAATTCCGAAGTAAGTATTAGTATAACAACATTAATAACAATTAGACGAGTTAAAAACTT